AATATTATATATTTAATATATTCATATATTATTGTAAGATTTATTTTATTTAATTTGAAAAAATATATATATATATATATATATAAAAGTAAGTAATAATATTGACTTAATCAATAACGGTTAACAATGATATTAACCGATTTAGGTATAATTATTTTAAAAGAGATAGAATGGTGAATATCTACAATCTATTGTCATGAAATGACAGGTGCTACTCTTCATCATAACTCGAAAAACAACCGCCGTAATTAGTGAAGGACGCGCCGTGTTCGACTCGTCGTCGCTTATCTCCATCTTCGTATCCCTTCACGGTCCCCTCGTTGTCTTCTCGTTTTCTTTCACACCTAACACTCGTCGTATATTAAAGAACTATTGCGGAATGCCCCGTCCGATCCCTTCCGTCGCCTATTTATGCCTTTCCCTCCCTCCATCGTCTTTCATCATTTCCTGGCATTCCTTCCAGAAACCTCTCGATAATTCTCCATTATAAACAATGGATCCTTTCCGCACTTCCAGATCGAGAACGTTCGAGAGATTTTGATGGAGCTGTACAAAGGCGACGAGTCCAGACGGTGTAGCCTTACTATTTAAACAAAACTTTTATATCTATATACGGTTTCTTTCTCCTTCGTTCCACGCTACACTCTCTCACACACTCATACCATCACACATGCATTCCATTATGGCAACTTATACTCTATGCACGCATACTTCTCAGATATTCTGTATCCCCACATTATTAATGTATTATTTTTAATATAAAATACTGCAATATTATAAATATTACAAATTAAAGTACTATAGTACACACAATACATTGTAGTTTTTAATTTTTACATAAAATAATAAAAAATTCCCACATAATTTATTGATGCATCTTAATAAAAATATATACATAGAGATTACAAAGGTTATTTGTAAATACAAAATACTTTCCTTTCGTTTAATCATTCTTACTGTTCTTGTATGTAAATTACATTATCCAAGCTCTTCTTTTGTCCAATTTCTCAGCTAGAAAGCTACTAAAAAATGTAAGAAAGTATATTCACCGTACATGTACATAGCATCAATATACTCAGTATCCATACACTTATTCAAAACTTTCAAGAACAAACAAAGAAAATTCAAAGGAGTTCAAGAGATTGTGTTCTATCTCTCTTTCTTTCGTTCTTTCCTTCTTCATCTCTCATGTGAAAATTTTAATCTTCGAAATAATGTATAAGTAGACAAAATAATTATAACCCATCTTTTATCTATAACATCTAACAGTAACTTTATTCTCAATAAAAGATAAAGAGAAAGAAAAATATAAAGAAGAAGAATAAAAAAAAAAGATAAAGAGAGATGAAGAAAACGGACATCGTTAATCATAATAAATCCTTTTCTATTATTTTCCACGATGAATTTTCAACGAACAGCCGAGAAATTTCACTTAAGTGTTATTAATGGCTACGATACGATGACGTTTTTGTTTAAATATGAGAATAGTCGAAAGAAAAAGGGGGTTGAAAACGAGGAGAAAAAAAAATATGAAAATAATTTCAAAGGATTTTATTTAGCAAATAATAAGATTTAGTTTACTATTCCTATACCTACTTGTTGAAAACGAACTAATTTCCATTCTCGTTTGTACGGTATACACGAGTCTTACGTTTTATAAATTCGTCCTTTGCTTTTCTCATGAAACGAAAGCTTGAAGGAAAGAAAGAAGGAAGGAAGGAAGGAAAGAAAGCTCGAAAGAAAGAAAGAAAGAAGGAAAGAAAGAAAGAAAGCTCGAAAGAAAGTAAGTAAGTAAGTAAGTAAAGTAAGTAACTAAAGTCCGAAGGGAAGATCTTACACATTCTTCAGACGTTCGCGATAAATTTTTCATAACGTCGTGCAATCTTGTAACAACATAAAGAGCTCGGGAAAGCTCGAAAGCTCGAAAGGATATTAGATAGAAAGAGAGAGTAGTCTCTAGTAGGAGTAAGAGATGGAGAATGTGGTAGGAAAAGTTAGGAAGAGGCCAAAGTCGGTGAAAATTCGGTTTAAAGTCAGGTTGATGACTTCAGTGGAAGGAAGGAAGGAAAAGATAAAGAGGCGCAGGAATTCCCAGTGGTGGGTCGCAAAGTAGGACCTGGGCGTGTTACTTCCTGCGGGCATTCGGCAGGAGGTCTTTATTCAAATTTTAAAGTCATTTACATCTACGTGCCCTTTTCGATCCTCTTTCACGGTTGCTGCTTACTTTAGATTCGTTGCAACGCGGAAATGCAAAAGCACTATCAAAAGCAACAACACAACCGGCTAGAAAATAAGCACAAAAGGAAAGGGAGTTCTATGAGCAATAAGATAAGTGTAGGAGGAGGAGGAGGAGGTTGGTTAGCAACAAACATTTTCCTTGTAAATCGAAAAGAGATATCGTGTTTTCTTCCGTAACAATGGACGGATATTTCTTATCATAAGCTTACGTCTTACTACAATAAAGATTTTCCTGCTTTAAGATCTGACGAATCCATGGCGAAATGATGCCAGGTAGTATACAGTTGCTTTTCTTACAATACTAAGAAGAATCGAAAAGAAAAATTGGCGACTCTATAATATCGAAAAACGACGCACGTTTTCTTTACTTTTTTACTATCTTACTTTTCATTTTTCCTATCTTTCTTTCATTCTCTTTCCAACTGAAAGTATATTCTTAGATCGCATAAAAGGGTAGACCTTTCGAAATTACCAACGTTCGTAGAGAACCCTTAGTATTTCATAGGCATGATGAAAGTTCTCCGAAGGAATAAGAATTGCGATGAGTAGGAGAAAGCTTCAAATTTCAACCTGGAAGATCTTTTAATGCGAAACTTTCTTTAATCGTCAAATCTAGGAAACACGTTTTCAATTGTAATCTAAAGAACCATTATTATTAATGGTCTTTTACAATATCTTTGGAATAATAATTTATTGCAATTATTTATACGATGTGAGAATTTTGTTTAAATTAATCAAATACTCCATTGAAAAATATTTAAGTCAAATCAATTAAAAAATAATAGGATTTTTACAATTTTTTTCTTTGCTATTATTTATGTATTCATTTTCCGTTAGCGATAAATCAACAAAAAAATATATTGTATTTCTGTTAGAAATTATTCATTTATTAATTTTGTTTGTTTGCGATTTGCTGGATGAAAGTTGAAATCTTCGAAGTTTTGCTCTCTCTCTTTTTCATACACACACACACACACACACACACACACGCACATGCAACACATACGGAGGAAGCGAGCAAACAAGAAAGGAGACAGCTGCTTCTGGTATATTCTTAGCAAAAGTTTAACTTATATTAAACCCACAACTACTGCACGAGCTGACATTATCACGAGTGTCATGAGATTCACCTGTTCATGGCAAGCCTTTCCTCTCTCTCTTTCTTTCTCTCTCCCTCATCAAAATTAGATTACTTTTTATAGACCAATACACATACACACACGCACACTTGTTCGCATTATAAATATAGAAGTATGGCATGTCGTAGGAGTTCCTCAACTTTTGCACGAGACAACCTATTTCAATCGAAACTTTTAAGGAAATCACACTTCCTTCGATCGAATCTTTCATTCGTTCGTTCGTTCGTTCGTTAATATCACAATTTTAAACCTAAATAATCCTATCAAAATAATTATTAAAAATCTTATCAATAAAAATAAATATAAAGCTTAATCAAACTCCTATATGGGTCGCTACAGTAATGAAACGGTTTAAAAATTTAGATGTTAAATAAATTGATATTAATGCTTAATATTGCAATCAATAATTATTTCATTTGAATTAAATTTTTGATAACTTAACAAACTTTTTTTTCCGTCGTTAAATCTTCATAAATTTGTACACATCGATGATGATCTTAATGATCTTATTAAAAACAATGGTTATAAAAATAAATAAAATATGGAATACTTAGTCATAAGATAAAAAAATGATAAAAATAGAAAACGAGAGAGAAAGAGAGAGAAAGAGAGAGTAAAGAACGATCGTTAACGGCCATCGTTCTCATGTCACGTTCTCCGTAAACGAAGCCGCCTCTCTCCCTCATAAAGATTAATCGTTTTCATCGGCTAGCATGCAAAAGTTTTGCGTTGGTAACGCGAGCTCTGACATTTTGTGCTCGTGGTAACGATACGAAATAGAGAGAGAGAGAGAGAGAGAGAGAGAGAGAGAGAGAGAGAGACAGAGAGAGAGAGACAGACAGAAGTCTTATAAATAACGATCGTCGTCATCGTCGTTCGTCCTCGTCCGAATGAAAAGTAACATCGTTTTTGTGTCTTTCATCGAATTTTCAGAACAAAAAGAAAAAAGAAAACGAACAACAAATTAATCTTATTTAAAATGAATCGAGTACAACGCGATCAATAGTTAATATATCTATATATTTTAATTAATTAAATATATAATTAGAGTAAAAATCCTTATATTCGTTAATTAATTATTAGAGTTAATCATATATGTATGTAGTTATCGATCATATCAATTCATTTCTAATTGATAATATTCTCGAATAAATAAAGATAATCATATTTCACGATTCAATAATAAATGAAATATTTATGAATATATGATAAGCTTATACAACTAATTCAAAGATATCTATTAGACAATTATAGAAATGTGTGTGAATTTTACCTAATGATCGAATAATTAAATTAATCTATAACAAATACCATTAAAATTGTAAATTTACAACTTTTATTTGTATATGACTCAAAATAAATATGCATAAATATCCACGCACACACACACGGAAACATACCGATGCAATTTTATATCTAAAATTCGATATATATTTTCGTACGAATGGTTTGCTTCTCGATTTTCGAAGGTTTATTTTATGCTTTGGCGTATCGTTTCGGTCGGTTTGGGATTTGAAGGTAGGGGAATGTTGGAGGAGAATTGGTAGATATCGATCGTAGGCCCATCGTGTATTCCTAGTAATTGGAACATTTATGAGCCAATCAATCACTTCTCTGTTGCAGTTCCCCCTATGCTCTCGATACCACACCAATTGGTTGGCGCGCCCTTAGGTTATTCCGTCAAGTTGGAATGTTATACCGAAGCTCATCCAACTTCTTTAAATTATTGGACCAGGGAGGACAAACACATGATTCACGATAGCAGTAAATACAAGGTCGTTTCTACTCCTGAGGTGCCATCATACAAGACTCATATGACACTAGAAATTTACGACATTCAGGTAATTGTTAAATACCATTTTCTTTTTTTTTCTTTATTAAATCTATGAATTTATGAATTATGCGAATAGATGTAACATAATAATTGCAAGATATATATATATATAATGTAATTTAATAACTAAATAAATTATAAAATATTCACCCGTGTTCATGTTTGTGTTCGTGTTCGTGTATGTGTACGTATAGACGCTTATGCGAATGTAAATCTGACAAAAGATAAGCTCCCCTAGTTTGAAACCTATCGAACACTTCAGAGTCAACAGGTGATACGCGAAAACTAACTGTGGCGTAGGTCGAAAGCTTCGTCCGTTCGTTCGTTCGAGTATTTCACGTTCGCTAACGTTGTATCTCGATATTCAATAGGTTAACATTTTGTATATATATGAAAAATAATATAAACGAATTAAAAAATGAATCAATTTCCAAAAGCAACGTCTATTCGTATATAATTATTAATAAATAACAAAATATATTGCGACAATAATTAACCCTTTGACTGCTATGAGCGCATATATGCATTGGGTAAAAGTTGCCAGCGTGGTTTATCGACTCATATACGTGTTTATCGATATATGAATGTAAAATAATGTAATGTTGGTTCGCATATTGATTATTATTTTGAGTCTTGTCACATGAAAATTATATATAAAAACTTTAATTATTAGATCTGATATAAAAAATAATGTCAACACAACGGAAACAATCGCACTAATAATAAATTATTCCGCTCCATTGAAAAACATTTCAGTACTAAAAGTATTCAGCACTCACAAAGGGTTAATTATTTATATTCTATCCCATTTGAATTGTTGTTGTTATTATTGTTATTAGATGGAAGATTACGGTGCATACAAGTGCGTGGCAAAAAATCCACGTGGCAATACAGATGGCGTCATACGGCTGTACAGTAAGTGTTGCTTTGTTTATTCGCGCTTTAAACCATCCGCAAAGAGCGTTTGCCAAGTTAATGACGGATCGTCACAGATGGTTCGCTTCTGTATACAGTAAACTCAAGGCCGAAGCCCGGAGGCCGCCTTGAACATTGCACTACGGCTGTTTACGAAGTCGACAGAGACGCCGGCATCTCGACTAGTCACGTAATTTTCCTTCCAAGCCCGCAAGCAGTTTAACCACTTTCTTATAAGCGTAACCGTAGGTAGATAGGTAGAGAGATAGCTATGTACGTTACTTTACATAGCCCAGAGTACGTATCGCAAACCTATACCTACCATCATATTATTGAACGTGAGCTTACTACCTAGTTCTCCTCTCTTATCCTCCTTAATTAGCTGAGTTAAAACGCTCATCGTATTTGCCAAAGGGTTGCCGTTCCTTCGATTAATCGATCTTTTCTTTCATCCTCTTTCTATCGAATCTTTCTAATATTATTCATTAATCCTTTTTTCCTTATATTCTTTTATTTCTTTTTCTTGTTGTTACTTTTTCTTATTTCTTCGATGGATTTCTTTTTACTAGTATTTTTTATTTTTATTAATTAATTACTATTGGTTAGATAATTTATTAGAACGGATTTTCGCGAAGGTACTTTACGATATTTTTCATGATACAGTTTTTGTACAAATTGTTTCTATTAATGTTCCAAGATACGTATTTTAATATTGTTACGAATTTTGTGTACGAATATAATTATATAATATAAATTTTTAATGTTTTATTCTTGGATTGTATAAACAATTCGTTTGGGTTGTATTAAATTTTAATCGGAAAATACTTTTATGATAGTACATGTATTTCTAGATTCTTATTTATTTGGAAAAAAAAAATAATTTAAAAGTTTCTAAACACCTGTATTACAATATTGTTTAGTTTTATGCAAGAGAATCCTACAAATAGACAATGGGGGAAACAAATGTGAACACATTTAGGTGTCCACATAGGTGAATCGTGAAAAAATAAAAAATAGAAAAGAATGATAAAATATTTAACAATAGAAGCATCGTGTCATTTATTTCAGAAATTTAATTTTATGGCCTAGCTGTTAAATTAGGTCATTTGTGTTTCAACAAATATCCTAATACGTATTTTATTTTTTTCTTTCGCCTGTGATAAATTTATTCAAATTTTAATCAAGGATAATTTATACCATCAAACAGTTCAATATTATTATTCCTTTTCAAAATAAAATATATAAGAGTAAATTTTTAATTATATTCTCAAATAATTTAATTAATATCGTTTAAGTAATATAATAATAAAATATTCCAATAAATTTATTTCTGCAACTATCTATGCATTTAAATTTGTAATTCTAAATGGGTGTTAATACTTCTTGATAAACAAAAAACGATGATTTATCAAACCTCCAAACTCATTTATCAATAATGTTTCTTTTCTGTTTTTTTTTTTTTTTTAATATTCCGTATATATAAGTTAATTATCGTTAATAGAGATAAAAAGGATGGTTTTATAGATAGAGGTATGATTTTACGATTCTAAACGTATGCATATGACATAAAGGGTTGACGAATAAATGGCCGTTCCCCGTTGACGGTCTATATATCCGCGTGTGTACGCGAACATGCGTGCATACTAAACGTAGTTACATATATACGAGAGAAAGGGAGATAGAAATAGAAAGATAGATAGATAGAGGGAGAAAAAAAAGGACAGAAAAAGAGATAGTACGAAGAGATAGAGAGAAACGAGAAGAGAGAGGACTCTCCATTAGCATGCATCGGTTTTTCGCATTAGCGACATTCAAATGAAGCGGCCGTTTAGCATAAAAGGCTACCAACGTAAAAAGGCTACCGTAAACGGACTGCTTTGCCCTCTGTTCGTTCCCTATTTTCTTATTCTCCCTTTTCATTTTTATTCTTTCCTTTTTATCTTCATTCCTTTCCTTCCTTTCTTCATTTTTCTCGAGTTTTCCAAAAAGGATACGGACATCGTTCAAAATTCTAATCGATCGAATCTGAAAAGAATGATATTACTATTAAATATTATTTTTTTTTCTTTTTAGATAAACCTTTCTAAAGTATGTATTATTATGACTTATACGAAAGGAGATCAATGGGGAAAAGAAACGAACGAAAATAAAAGAAGAATATTTGAAATAGGGAAGAAATATTTAAACGAAAAAAATAAAAAAAGAAAACAATGAAATAAAGCGAGTGGATGAAGGAGATACTATGAGAGTATATGCGTGAGTGTAATGGAGATGGAAAGAGGGGGGAAGGGGGAAAAGAGAAAGGGAGAAGGAACGTATCCGCCGAAATTAAGTGGTAGCAGTCAGAGATATGTCAGCCGAGTTTTATTAAGCGACATAAAAAAGAGATTTGTAGTCTCGGTTGCGAGGGCTCGCGAAGGAAAGGGATATCCATACCCCGCATTCGTGGTCCCGAAGGGTGCCTCGTGGAACCGAAGGAAAGACTAGAAGGAAGACGACGAAGACGAGAAAGAAAAAAGGAAGCAAGAGTCGCAGAGATATGAATTTATTATTAAGGACCGCCTAAGGGCCAAAGTACCCCTGTTTCTTGATATCCAACCATTCCATGCGGTTCCACCCTTCGTCCTTTTTTTCCTCTCTTTCTCTCTGTCTGTCTGTCCATCTGTCTGTTCCTCGTTATTCTTTTCTTTCTTTATCTCTCTTTCGGTCTTTCTCTAGTTTCTTCTATATTTCTATCTCTTTCCATTTTTCATCCCCCCCTCCCCCCAGTTACTTTTCCTCCAACCCCAGGAAAACCTCGAGCGCAACTAATTTATTCCATAGTTGAGTCAAACCGCGGCCAATGTACGGCTTTAGATGGGAGAAGGGGTGGGTAGAGGGTGAGGGTGAGGAGTTGGTGTGGGTAGTGGTAGTAGTAGTAGTAATAGTAAAAGAAGAAGAAGAAGAAGAAGAAGAAGAAGAAGAAGAAGAAGTAAGTAAGAGGAGAGGGAGGAATGGGGAAAGCAGCAAAACTTGCGGGCGTTTCGTGGATAGCAACAATATCGTATTCATTCGGATGTTCGTTTTGTCTCTTTCTCTCTCTTTATGTGTCTCTCTATCTGTCTGTCTTTCTCTTTCTCTTTCCCTTTCTCTTTCTCTTTCTCTTTATTTCTGTCTCTTTCTTTCGAGCCATTGCTTTTGCCGTCTCGACGAGCTAGCTTCTTACCTATACATAATGCACAATGTCCTTTTCCTCTTTCTCTTCTTCTTTATTCGTCCTACTCTCTTCAACGTTTTATTTCTTTCCTTTTTGTTTCCATCCCTTTTCTTTTTACAAAGAACGCGGATTTAATTGTCCATCTTTATGCGCTCAGTCTGTCAACGTTTATCCTAGGTATTTTCTTTTTTCTTTCTTAATTAGGCGAGACCAATTCGATGCTTCTTTATAATTTTCCTTATCTTTTATCCTTCTCTCGTTTTGTCAAGTGTTGATAAAGAAAGTAGAAAAGAAAAAACACTCCGATCTTTAAAGTTATTAAAGAAATTCTGTATTTATTTATTGTTTTTTTTTTGTTTTTACTTGAAATAACGCGCGATTTATTCGTTTTATATTTTATTTTTTCGTCTCTCGCGTAATATTTATTGTTATTTTATTATAATAATTATTTCTGTTTATATACTAGAATTAACGTTTTTTTTCTTTCTTAAAGATATGACTAGAATATGTTTAATTACGATTATTATTCTGAATTAAACACTATTGCTATAAATGTTTAAATTATTAATAAATGTATTTTGTTCTTAAATCGTCTAAATTATGGACACGTCTAAACATTTGCAATTATTATTGTATAAACACTTCACATATTGACTATACATTCCCATTACACAAATACACTTTAAATGTATATTTATAATATTAATAATAATTTAATAATAATAATAATAATAATATTAATAACAATAATAATGTTCTGATCAAAGGTATTATTATTTCAATGGAAACGAACTCGATGCGATGGGAGAGTCAGATCTGATTAGAAATTCATAATCAAGTATCTTTGGAAATAGAATTCCTCGTTGTGAAATTGTTATCGAGTATGAAATCTTTTTCACGTATCAAACGTTTTGAAATTGGATTTATTAATTAATTTCACTCAATATTGCTTGTCAATGGGATATAAAATTGAAAAAGTTAATTGGTCAAAACTAAATACATAATACAACATTTCAAATAATTTATATTATTCGTGAAGTTCTTCGTTACTTAATATTTTTCTCTTTTTTCTCTCTCTCTCTCTTTATTTTTTTTTAATTTTGTTAAACTTTTTGGAACGACACGAACTAACTCGTGACATTATCCGACGATTAGAAATTTAGGAGGAATGGAAACTTCAGAACGTTGGATCAAAGTCCCCGCAAGATTTGCATTTGCCTTCGGAAATTTCGCTAATGAAATCTTCTACGAACGAACGAGTAAACTTGTCCCACGTACTTTTACTCTTACTCACTCTCTCTCTCTCCCTCTCTCTCTCTCTCTATATATATATATGTATCTATCTATCTATTTTTCTTTACAACATTCTGCAGTCAAATAGAGAATATGATTCTTATTTAATCATATAACCGATTGAAATATCCAACGAAGGAATGACATTTTATTTTTGTTTCAAACTATGAAAAATAAAGAAATAAAAAGAAAAAGACAATCTTCTCATACTACAGGAGTAGGAGAGTTTAATTAATAATCACATAAGATTCTTAATACATAATTAAATGCTCTTGTCCTTTGTAGAGTATACAACAAGTAAGTATAGCAAGATAGGTAGTTAAATTTCCTCGATGATTTTAATTATTAATCGATCGGACTTCGGTGAAACTTATGTTACGAAAGCAAACGTTACGACGAGAAACGAGCATGAACTTTCTTCTTTCGAAAGGTGTAAAAATTCTTCATTATTTTCTTTTTCTCTTTTTTTTTCTTTTCTTTTTTTTTACTCTTTCTTTTCGAAATGAACCAC